CAGTAAGGGAATTAGGGTAGGGGTTAATTTGTTCCCTCCGATCAAAATCGAATGGCTGAGAATAAATAGGTTAGGGAAGTCAAGGAATAAACTGAAGATATTTTATAGATGTTTGGAGATGATCCGGACGCAACGGTAACGATAGTCTGGTTCGGGTTCGGGGAAGTTTCGGACGCGCGCAAGGGGTCTGGGTATTGCGCGAAGTGGGGTTAGACGGTCGCAATCAAGAGTGGTTGGGCTGAGAATGGTCATCGAAGAAAAGCGGTCCGAGGGAGGGTTGTCAGAATCGTGATTTTGAATCGGATCGGAGCTCCGATGGTAGGATCGCAAATCATGAAATCTTCACTATCAGGATCATAAAAACGTAGATTCTATGAACTAAAATCGTAGAATCATAGGGGTTTGTTTGTATCGTAAAGTCATAGAATCGTATAACAGAATCGCGATTCTGACAACCTAGATGAAGGCAAAGGGAGAAACGGCACCAACGAGCGAATGCAAGTTTTAAAAACAATGACGGCAACGAGTGCCAATGCAATGCAAAATATGACATGACGAATGCAACAAACAAATAAAACACACAGCGGTCACGCAAAACAAGGAAGGCATCTGGAGCGTCGGTCTTGGGGCGTTACACACACCAAGTCCTCAAAAGCCTAGTGGCTAGGGAAGGCAAAAAAGGAAGGAGTCCTATTAGGAATAGGATTAGACTTGGAGTCCAAGTCCTCTCCCCCTTTGTTGCGCCCTAGGGCTTGGAGGGGTGGTTTCCCATGCCCCTACACCTATATATAGAGGGGAAAGGGCGCCCCAAAAGGACACACCAAACCCTTGGCGCCCTCTCTGTCTCCTGTTACTCCGTAGTTCCACCGCCTCGTCCCGGCAATGCTTAGTGAAGCCATGTCGGCGCTCCACCACCACCATCACCACCACACCATCGTGTTGATTGAGATCCCATCTACTTCTCCTCTCCCGCTTGCTGGATCAAGAAGGAGGAGACGTCATCGAGCCGCACGTGTGCTAAACTCGGAGGTGCTGTCCGTTCCGCACTAGATCGGTTGGATCATGATCGGATCGCGAAGAGTACGACTACATCAACCGCGTGATAAACGCTTCCGCTTAGCGATCTACAAGGGTATGTAGATGCTCTCCCCCTCTCATAGATATGCTCTTCCATGGATAGATCTTGCGTGTGCATAGAAATTTTTTGTTTTCCATGCAACGTTCATCAACAGTATAATTTAAGCCTCCGTCATGCTATTCCATCCAAATTTCCCTAGCAAGATTAGTATTGCTAATCATTTTATATGATGACCAGCCAGTAAAGATGACATGTCCTCATGCTAAGCCAGAAGTCCTCTACTTCTTTTTGACAACAAGTCCTCTACTTTCCTAGTGAGAGCTCCTTCCCAGCGCCAGGGAAGGAAGCCAGTGCTCAAGCGATAACCTCATGGTCGGCCCAACAAGGAGACAAACGTTCGCTCGTGACGCGCCAGTTTTCCTTTTTACTATCCGCTCAGTTCGCGGTTGACACATCCACAGTTTGACTGCTGACTTTCGAGAAAATAAGATTATGTAAAAAAAAAATCAAGAATTCAAAATAATTCACATGGTCAAAAGAAGTTCACGGATTTGAAAAATGTTCGTAAGATTCAAAAGAAGTTCACAAACTCAAAAAAGTTCACGAGTTTTAAAAAATCGTGGGATTTGAAAAAAGGTTGATACATTTGAAAAAAAAGCTCACATGATTAAAAAATATCTGCTAATTTGAAAAAGTTCACAAGTTGAAAAAAATCATGGGATTATAAAAAAGTTCATGGGATTCAACAAAGTTCATGAACTCGAAAGAGTTCACGAGTTCAAAAATAGTTCGCGCATTTGAAAAAGTCCGTTCATTTGACGAGTTTGGAAAAAAGATCCACATATTCTAAAAAAGGTGTGCATAAATGAGAAAAGGAAAAAAGAGAGAAAAAAACCATATAGAAAACCAAAACACCGTCCGGAGGCATCTAGAAGTTTCCCAAATATCAAACAACGTCGCTTATATTTGGCCTGGTCGATTCAAGTACGAAGTGTGCTTTGCCTCAAATGTACATTTGAGAAGGAGCAAAAAAAGAAAATGGATCGAGCCCAAGCTGGAGCGGGTGTGCGCATTGGTTTGTGAAATAAACTCTAATAGGATTTGGACTTCCTAGTGCACAGAGGGATTTTCAGAATGGTTTCCAAGTCAAATGGCATGAAAACCTCCCTGACGAGGGGCAGCACTATGTCTCGCTTATAGCGAGACCTAGCATGCTCTCGTGTCAGGCGCCTCTCTACATGGGCATGTCCAGACGCGCGGGAGGCTACGACCTTTTTGTTGTTGTTTTTTTCACCTATTTTTCCTATCTCTTTTTTACTTCCGTTTGTACTTTCAAATGTTCCAAATAAATAAATTATATTTTTTACATAAAACTTTTGAAAACAAAATGTTAACTAAGCATGTGAAAATGTTAAATGTGATTAAAGAAAAATGTTTCTCATGTGCATGGAAAATGTATACAAAATATATATATTGTGCGTGAAAATTTTTAATCATGTATTTAGAAAATGTTAATATAGCCTTTGAGAAATGTTAAACAAATATCTGCAAAATGTTCATCAAGCATTCGAAAAATGTTTAATGTGTATAGGAATAAATGTTGACCATGTATTAAAAATATAAAACTTGTATCTGGAAAATGTTAATGAAGCATTTGAAAATAGTATTAAAATGTGTATAAAAATATTGACCATATGTTAAAAATGTTAATCTTGTATTTGAAAAATTCTAAACAAGCATTTAAAAAATGTTAAAAATGTCTACAGAAAAAATGTTGACCATTTTATTTATAAAATGTTAAGCAAGGATTTGAAAAAAATTTAAATTAAAGAAAATGTTTCTTTGTTTATGAAAAATGTATATATAAAATATACAATGTGTGCAAAAAAAGTTGATTGTGTATTTGGAAAATGTTAATCACGCATTAAAAAAAACTTTTTTTGAGAAACGAATAAATAAATAAATATTAAACAAACACTGGAGAAATGTTAATCAACCATTTGAAAAATGTGAAATGTGCTTAGAAAAAAATGCTGACCATATATTTAAAACATTAATATTGTATTTTTGAATTTTATATCAAGAATTTGAAAATGTGTATAGAAAAAAATGATGATCATACATTAAATAGTTATTAATCTTGTATTTAAAATATATTAATCAAGCATTTGATAATGTGTATGGAAAAATATTAACTATGTACTGAAAAATGTTAAATATGTATTAGAAAAAATATTCTTGATGTATACGAAACATGTAGAATGAAAACCAAAACAAAAAAATGCCAAAAATAAGAAAATATGGAACCAAAGAAACAAGTGTAAATTGAACAAAAAAATGGAAATAAAATAAAGAAACAAAGAAAAAAAGAAAAATCATTGAAACCCGAGAAAGAAACAAAAACTAAAGAAAAGAAGAAGAAGAATGGGAAATGGAAGAAAAATCAATGAAAAACAATGAAAGAAACAAAAGAAATCAAGGAAAAGCAAAAGAGAATTTAAAAAAACCAAGGTATACCGATGAAAAAAGAAACTGAAAAAACATGAAAATAAATAAGAAAATGAAATAAGATAGAAAAAAATGAATTTTTTTGAATGAATGCAATGGTGAACGACCGAGAACGAACAAAACAAGTAACATGCTATTGGGCCCGCCCATACCATTGTGCAGGAAAGCTTTAGCGAGACGGATGCCAAAATTATTAGTTAATGGGTACCCCTTGTAAAGGTTACTCCGACCTTCCGAGGTTGCGACAGGTGGTGGAAATTCCCTTTTTCATAAATTTGTTTATTGAAAACATTTTATCTTTAAACCGTGTGTCTAAAGGGTTAACCATTTTCAACTTTGAATTTCTCGACTTATGATCTTTGAAAATAGATCTCATGTTAATATGTTTTGATGAAATTTGTTTCCACAAAAAATCCAGAAAAAACTCGAGCCGGAAGCTCAATTTTTCCCACCTTTTCCCATTTACGAGCAAAATTGTGTCTCTCATGAAAGAAAAAAACTGCATTTTTTCCTTTCCCTGAGGCACAGTTGTGCCCCTCGCGGAAGTAAATATATATGCCTCTCACGAAAAAAAAGAGTTTACCACTTTCCGAGAGGCACAATTGGAAGTAAAATTGTGCCTCCACGAGAAGCAAACCAGTGCCTCTGGCGTAAGAAAACAAATTGATTTTTCCTTTCCGAGTGGCACATCGGAAGCAAACCTGTGCCTCTCACGAAATAAATTTTTTCATGCAATTTTTTTTGATTTTTTTGTCCAAAATCTAGGAAAAACTGGGCAAAAGCTGAAAAGCCGAATAAATTCTAAAATCCGGAAAGGTATAAGAAAACAAAATTCCGAGAAAACGCCAAGCACACGACAGGTAGCGGCGGTTGAGAGCGTGTCAAGTGACCCTTGCAAGATTCTGCAATGGGTACCCTCAGTTAGTTTTGTGTAGGGGCACCCCTCAGTTAGTTGCTCTCGACGGATGCTAGCCTAGCTATAAGAGCAAGAAGTAGCATTCACCTCCGACGGGCTCCTCTCGCCAGGTTAGTTATGAAAAAAAAATGCCTTCTATCATTAATATTTTGAGCGTAAACTAGCCCATTACTATTCGGCCGCGCCGGCCCGACCGAACCCGTGACGACAACAGAGAGTCCAAGGGCCGGACGGGCGGCCCAGATCCAAACTTGGGGGAGGGGCAAATCGGGACAGAAAAGGAGTGACAAGTTCATCCACCTCGCGTCCGACTCCAACTCGCAAGCAAAGCGGAGATCCCCTCTTCCGCTTCCGCCTCAGCCCCCAGAAAATAAACCCCCAAGCAGCACCGCGAGTCTGCCTCCGTACGACCGCACCGCTTGCCCCCGAACCCTAGCTAGAGCCTGCCAGCAGCGCCGTCGCCGTCGGCGAATCGAATCCGCGGGCGCCCGTCCAGCCATGTCGCCGCCCGAGAACCCCAACGGCGGGGCCGCCGCCGCCGCGCCCTCGGAGCCCGCGCCGCCCGCCAAGCCTTCGTCTTCCAAGGGGAAGAAGAAGGACGACAAGAAGGACGACGATCTGGTGAGCTGCCCCCCCGTCCCCCCCTCCGCCCGGTCTCCCCCGGCCGGCCGAGATCGGGGAGCGTCTCGCTTCGATCTGCGGTCCCGCCCCCGCCTGATGTGTTTTTGCTTTGGTGCGCGCAGTCGGAGGAGGACCTGGCGCTCAAGGAGCAGCTCGAGCTCTACGTGGTGCGGGCGCAGGACGTGGATCCCGGCGTGCAGAGGCTCGCCCTCGAGAGCATGAGGTACCACAATCTATTCGCTTGCTGGGACCTCACAGATTCAGTTTTTGTCCCCGAATTCTGTTCCGTGCCCAGGTCTGGTGGCGCGTCGGCTGCTTGTTCTAGGTTTAGATTTCCGATCTCTGCGCGAATTCGATGAGTGGACTGGCTCTAGTTCTGGCCTCTATATAGCTACATCTACCTGACGAACCATTACGGACTGCTGTCACTCTAGTTTGTGTAAAAAGATTAGCCTTTGTGTGCCCTCGACTGAGATTTTGACCTTTACAGGCAGGAGATTCGTTCCTTTGGCTTGCCATAAGTTTAGATTTCTGCTCTCTGTCTGAATCCCTTGAATGTGTAGGCTTTAGTTTTGCTAACTTTTGTTCCATCTATCTGGCAAGGTCTTGTGGGGTGCTACCACTGTAGTAGTTTGTGTAAAAAACAATGTTTTCTTGCTTTATTTCTGTTAGCTGCCACTGAGATTTTGACCCCTGCCAGGCAGGAGATTCGCTCAGCTACAAGCTCGATGACGTCTGTCCCAAAGCCACTGAAATTCCTCCGCCCACACTATGGAACCCTCAAGTCCTACTATGAAACTATGCCAGAATCTGAGCTAAAGGTATACATTACACTCACACCTTTGTTGTACGGTGATTTAAATACTGATTCTGGACGTTGCTAATATAATAACACAACTGTTTTGCAGAAGTACATGGCTGACATACTATCAGTGTTGGCCTTGACAATGTCTGCTGAAGGAGAGAGGGTATGTGCCTGCCATGTTCCTACTCTGCCACGATTCAGTTTTATACCTTTCAGCGTGAATTGAGGTTAGCCTTCTTAAGAGTTGCTCTGCCTTTTCATTGTTTCAGGAGAGCCTGAGGTACCGTTTGTTGGGCTCTGAAGGCGACATTGGTTCCTGGGGTCATGAATATGTGAGGTAAGAACAATACTGCATAAATTTATATACTTTACCTGTTTTTGTTTTGTTTTGTGAATTTATCTTATAGCCCATTTAATGTTAATTAGGTATTTAGTTCATGTCTGCCTTATAGATGTAAAAGTGAAATATTGTTTCTTTCCTTCCAAGAGTTCTGTTTGTTATTCCCACTTCATTCTATTAGTTTCAAAAATCCATACCCAGAAATACAAATTGCTTACTAGCAAGAGGTTAAAGTTTAGACAGTCATTTAATATTCAACATGGTCTATTCCTATGACTGTTACAATGAGGTAGTTGTAGCATGATAGGATAAAGGTTTCCTTGTGGTGGACATATATTGATTATGCATCATTAATATTCTGCTTTGGTTGCTATATGTGTTCTGACTGCAAGGTTTATCTTATGTGATGGCTAATTTGTATATAGCTATCGGACCAAGTATCCAATACATTGTTGGTTTTGTAATTTGTTATATGCATTTACTTTCACAATTGTTGGATTCTACTGAAACCTTTTTCTCGTGACAGGAATCTGGCTGGTGAAATTGCTCAAGAATTCCAAAAGCGCCAGGTTGGAACTCTCATTCTTGTATCATTACTACGTGGAACTTCTGCTTTGCTCTTTTTGCTCCATTTTTCTATTTACCCCATTGTGATAACCCTTTATTTTTACTTAGGAGGCTTAACTTCCTATGTATCTTAGACATCATTGATGTAATTTGATAAATATTACTACCCCTTTTATCGATGCTATGAGTGATTTACTTCAACTATTTTGGTGACTACTACTGGTCATGCTCGTAGGCTTTAATCAGTTTGCGGAACTACTGTAGTTTGTCATTTCCTATTTGCTCTAGTTCTCTAAAAGCTGCTGTTTTGGACATAGGCAGTCTCTAGTATTCACCTTTGAGCACTTTGAGTTGTGATATATTCATAAATAAAGCTAAACAGAAGTAGACTTATGAAATATTCTATTCAAGACTAATGACTATGGTTTTTGACTATCTAACTGACATATTTTAAAGGATATTAGTAGTCAAAGTTTTGATGTTATTTGTTAAAGTTTGAATTTTAGTTGTCAAAGTTTTGGATGTTGTACTTTACTTGAACAGGAGTGAGTAACTGGGTCTCCTTATTGTAATATCCAATCTTGATCACATTTGTTTATTACTCACTGCACATATGTTGTTTGTATTCATCTTTTTTTTAATGTGTCATGGTTGCAACCATACTAAGTAGATTTTCTCTGTTTTTTTTTCTATTTCTTGTGTGTGTATATATATTTCAAACCTCAAAGTGTTAATTTTGTATTTCTGCAGGGTGATGACATGCCAATTGATGAGTTAATGGAACTAGTGCAGCAAATTGTCTCATTCCACATGAAGGTTTGTTCTTTGAAAATTGTGGACATACATACTCCCTCTGTTCGAAAATAATTTTGTGGTGATGCATTGACGCCTTGTTGGTTTTCTTGTCATTTTTTTGTATAATAGCATAATGCTGAGCCAGAAGCTGTAGATCTTCTGATGGAGGTATTTTGTCTTGCACAATTTCAACCAGTACATTACTTGTAGCTATTCACCAATGGATATACTGATGCATGATATTTCATTTCAGGTTGAAGACCTTGATTTGCTAGTTGAGCATGTCGACTCAACAAACTACAAGAGAACTTGTTTGTACCTTACTAGTTCGTCTAGGTATGTCTACAACTCTATACATTAGGTCATACACTGCTATTTTTCTAATGTGCACATCTCTCTAAATTGTTTCTTTAAATTATTGCTTGTACATATTTTCTGTAAAAAGTTCCTACGTATAGATTTGGAATAATAAATTTGAATCTTAGTTGACTTGAATTAATGTTTTGCTCTATCTCAATTTCAAACTGCAGATTTCTCTCTTCTCCAGATGATACGCTGGCACTTGATATAGCATATACCATTTACATGAAGTTTGAAGATCTTGCAAGTGCATTGCGCATTGCTTTGCTTCTTGACAACAAGGTAAGCAGAAAATTATTAGAAGTTGTACTCCTCTGTTTAGGTATTACCTTTAAACTGACATGCATCTCAATGATTTGTAGTCCATACAGTATGTGAAGCAGGTCTACACAGCAACTGATGATCTTGTACTCAAGAAGCAATTCTCATACATCATTGCACGCCATGTATGTATTTCTCTCCTTACTTTCCCTCCCTTTACCTCTTTCCACCTCCCTCTGAATTTTGATTCCTTACCTTGGTTAATTGTTTATGTCTTGCATTTAAAGTAGCTTATCTTACAAATTTTGACCGTGAGCTCTCCTCTTCTGAAGGGTTTGGCCATGGAGATTGATGATGAGATAGCTGCAGATGAAAATGACAAGGAAATGTTGCAAGAAATAGTTAATAACACCAAGCTGAGTGAGGGGTACCTCACTCTTGCTCGTGATATCGAGGTTATGGAGGCAAAATCTCCAGAAGATATTTATAAGGTGACCTATATTTCACTAATTTCATGTTTATGGTAGGCTTTCTAGTCCATAATAAAAGTATGCTTATACTTTCTAATCTTTAGGTCCATTTGATTGACGGACGTGGTGCCAGCTCCAGTCTTGATTCTGCAAGACAGAATTTGGCTGCAACATTTGTCAATGCATTTGTTAATGCTGGATTTGGCCAGGTTAGTTTTTGTGGAGAATGTTATTTGTGGTCCATACAAGGCAAGAGTGAATATTAAGTTTGTTCATTTGTGCAGGATAAGCTGATGACTGCTCCATCTGATTCTTCCAGCAGCGGGTCTTCTGGAAACTGGTTATTTAAGAATAAGGAACATGGAAAAGCCAGTGCAGCAGCTAGCCTGGTACAATCACATCATTAAATATATTTCAAACAATAAGGTTTCTTTAAGTTATAACTAGCCAATACTAAATGAAATTATTGCTTGCAGGGAATGATTCTCCTGTGGGATACTGATTCTGGGCTTGCCCAGCTCGACAAGTACTTGCATAGTACTGATACTCATGTTGTTGCTGGAGCTTTGCTAGGTATTGGAGTTGTCACCTGCGGTGTGAAGAATGATTGTGACCCTGTATGTATTCCAATTTATTAGCTGCTTCCTCTCTCCCTATTTGATATTATGCAAGTTCTGTCTTTAATAAGAAATTGTTTCCAGGCACTCGCTATCCTCATGGAGTATGTTAACAAGGATGACTCAAACATACGGATTGGTGCAATCTTGGGTCTTGGTATCGCATATGCTGGTTCTCAAAAGGATGAGGTGGAAATCGGCGCTTGCTATTGTCTGTTTTTACCTTATCATCAGTTATATATTTCGTGCTAACATGGTTTCCTGTATTCCAGCTAAGAGTACAACTATCAGCTATATTGGGAGACCCCCAAGCAACACTCGAGGTCTTGGTCTTCACTGCTGTTGCTTTGGGATTGGTGTTTGTTGGTTCATGCAACGAAGAGATTGCACAATCCATCATATTTTTCTTGATGGAGCGCAGTGAGGCCGAGCTGGCAGAGCCAATTATACGCCTTCTTCCTGTTGCGCTTGGCCTTCTATATCTTGGAAAGCAGGTAAATACTCAGCATTTGCATTTTCATTCAAGTTTGTCGTGCAAGAAAAAATTGGCATGCGTTTAATGGACATACGATTTGTTTCAAGGATTCGCCCAGTCTTTTGTGAATTGGATCCAACTAGAAAGCTGATTGCAATTGTTACTGTTGTTTTCATACTATGTTGTTGCTAAATTTAGCTTATGCACACATCTTCATCATAACACGTCTTTTTTCAAGGCAATTTAAATGCATCCAGATAGCTTATTTTGGTGAACTATTTCAGGAAAGCGTTGAGGCTACTGCGGAGGTTTCTAAAACATTTGATGAGAAGATCAGGAAATATTGTGACGTAACACTTATGTCCCTTGCATATGCTGGAACAGGAAATGTGCTCAAGGTACTTAACTTCAATCCCTATATTAACATGTTTGCTGACTTATAACAGCTTCAAACTGTGTTCTAATGGCTCCAACCTTTTCGCAATTCTTAATGCAGGTTCAGAAACTTCTTGGTATTTGCTCACAACATCTTGAGAAAGGCGAAACACACCAAGGCCCAGCTGTCCTTGGAATTGCTCTTATTGCCATGTCTGAAGAATTAGGAGCTGAAATGGCTGTACGATCACTTGAACGTCTTCTACAGTATGGCGAGCAGAATATTAGACGAGCAGTTCCTCTTGCACTTGGTATCCTTTGTATTTCGAACCCCAAGGTAATAAGTTATTTGAAATCTCTATGTTGAATTTGTGCCTGATCAGTTGCTGTGAAGAGTCGCAGGGTTCATTAGAATGCAATGTTTAACTCTAGTAGTAAAAAACATCACTTTAAAGCAAAACATTTTGATCCTATCTCCTCCTAAGATAGAGATTGCTGGTCCTTGTTTTTTTTTCATGACAATATCTATGTAATGTAATTTATAGTGTAACAAAACTGCAATCAAAGCACTTCCGCCAGTTGTTAATTTTGCCATGTGCATACTGGGACATTCTCCATGTTATGAATTAAATGCTTGTTCAGTGGTTCATTTTCAGTGTTATGATGTTTATTTTGGACAATTCTGATATCTTGTATTTATCAGGTAAATGTAATGGACACACTGAGCAGATTGAGTCATGATGCAGATGCTGATGTCTCAATGGTATGCACTTCTTAACCTAGCAGTTAATTTCTTAAATTCATGCTTCATCTTATAACTTGGTTACCTTGCTCTAGGCTGCGATAATCTCATTGGGTTTGATTGGTGCTGGTACAAACAATGCCAGAATAGCTGGTATGCTTCGTAATCTTTCGAGTTATTACTACAAAGAGGCTGCTCATCTATTCTGTGTAAGTACATATCCGGTGCTCCTTTAGCATCCTTTTCCCGATGGTGGTTTCCTGTTTGTATTGGAGTTGCAGACTTGCATATGCTTATCAGTTTTATATGTTCAGGTAAGAATTGCTCAAGGGCTTGTTCACCTTGGGAAGGGTTTGCTGACACTTTCTCCATACCATTCCGACCGGTTTCTTCTTTCCCCGTGAGTTAACTATCTTCAAGCACTCAATTTCCCCTTCCAATATTGTTGGATTCATCTGACAATTCCTTTGCTCTTTTAGGATGGCACTTGGAGGGATTGTCACTGTTCTGCATGCCTGCCTTGATATGAAGTCCACCATTCTAGGGAAATATCACTACATTCTTTACATTATTGTACTGGCAATGCAGGTATGTATATAACTCATCTGCCAATTTTTATAACCAGACCAAACAGCCAGTTGATGATAAAGATTATAAACTCTTCTTTCCTTATTACAGCCAAGGATGCTTTTAACGGTGGATGAGGATCTGAAGCCTCTTCCTGTTCCAGTGCGGGTTGGGCAAGCAGTTGATGTGGTCGGGCAGGCGGGACGACCTAAGACGATAACCGGCTTTCAGACGCATACCACTCCTGTCTTGCTTGCAGCCGGGGAGCGAGCGGAATTGGCGACTGACAAGTAAGTTGGACTAGGCACGTGTTCTTTATCGTCTGAGTATGTTCCTCTCCATGGCAGCTAACCACTGTTGCCTTGTGTCATGCAGGTACATCCCCCTGACCTCGACGTTGGAGGGCTTTGTAATTCTGAAGAAGAACCCGGAATACCACGAGGAGTGAGGGGGAAACCCCCTAGGCTTTGATCTGATGCAAGTTTTTGGAGTCCCCCAGCTTGGCAGTCGTCACCGAGGATCCTTTGATATGCCCTCACACAAGGCACTTGCTGGTGTTTCATCCAAAAACATTTTATTCCGTCCACCAGAGCTGTAACTAACTGCAAGCTTGTTTGGTTGCCCGAATGGACCGGCATGCCACTTGTACCCACACTGGTGGACATGTAGGAGTTGAACTGGTGGTGTCTTTTGACCTTGAGCTTATTTGTATATGTATCAAGTGTGTACCGAAAGTTACATCTTTAGAACTGATACGGCGTTGTCATTCATTAGCACAGTATGTTTAGCCTTTCTTGTGGACCTGCGCCCGTCTACTTATTTTTTGTGGAGTACTCCTACAATGTTATGTCAGCAGTTAATGGCTTGCTGTGCTACATTAAAAGCGTTGCTGCTATCTCGTTTACGTTATTCAGTTGCTGATACGGTTACAGTTTCAACTAAACTGCAACCTGGCCTGGCACTGTAAAACTAAAATTAGTATATGGTGCACTGCATCATCAGGAGTGAGCTGAGCATCGTTGCAACACCATTCAAAGGGGATTGGAAGAGATGGGAATTTGGAGGGATTTTTGGAGGGGACTTGCCTGTTCGGCAATCCTCCGGCTCCATGAAATCCTGCACTCTGGCTCCTCCGAGCGAGCTCCCACTCCTCAATCCATCATTTGAGGCAGAAAAGGAGCTGAGGAGCGCCACTTCCACTTCCCTCGCTCCGTGGTAGCTTGCTCCGTTCCATGCTGCCAACTCCGCGGAGATTTCTGGTTCGGGTTGTGGAGTGGAGTCCCTCCGAAAAGTGTGGTAGTACCCAACGTTTTAAGAGCATATGGATAGGAGAAGCTTCCCAGCTTTTGCAAACCAATGAGCACAACTCATGTGGGTAAACAAGAAACCACTAATTCCTGTGTGCAATTTTTGTTGCTATTTTTTATCATATTTCTTTGTGAAGAATAGAACGTCGTTGCTTCCTTCCGGTCAGGATCCCTTCTCTTCATCCGGATTCATGGGCTGTAGATATTGTTGATGGCAAACAAGTTTCAGAACCGCATGCTGCTATCATTTTGTGTGGGTGATGCATGATTTGGACTGGAAGAAACAATAGGAGACATGGAGAACTTCAAATGGGCCATTGATACCATCCACGGTCTAGCTGCGCTAGTGGGCTTCAAGACGACACGAGAGCTGAGGGAGAAATCGGTCTGGATACCCCCCCCCTCCCCCATGAGATCACTTACATCAAGGTTAATGTTGACGTGAGCTATTACGAGCAAGGTGTCTATGGTAGTACGGGAGTTGTTCTTTAGAACCATATCAAAGCTTTGGTTCGGGCAAAACCAATTTGGTACCGAGTTGCACAAAATGCAAGCACTATGGAAGCCTTGGCAGCCTTGGTGCTCCGTGATGGCATTCGTCTTGCTCTTGGACATCTCAAGGTGATCATCGAAAGTGATGCTCAAGATGTTGCGCGAATGCTAAATGAGGCAAATTTTTCAAGGGCAGACTTGACATACATATGCTATGAGATTTAGGAGGTAAGCTCCAGTTTTCAATCTTGCCCCATTGTCCATAACAATTGAGAAGCAAATGAAGTGGCACACAGCTGGTGTGCCAAACAGGCTGGTGAGGATCGTAGAAGATGTATCTGGATGAATTACACCCCTGCTTTTCTTCTAGAATGTATTCACACACTGTAATCCTCCTGAGTAATTCAATATAACCTATTGCAGGCTAGCCATCGGCTTGGAACTGATGAGAGGCAACCGCTGTTGCCAACTTGAAACATATATTTTTTAGGTATGAATGGCTTACCTTAGCCAGAACTTCTATAAGTGTTGCTCATGTTAGCTTTCTCTAGTAAGTAGAACAATAATACATTTAACATTTCTTTTCTGCCATATGCGTATGCTCATGATATTTGAATTACGAACCAAATTCAAAACAAATAAGCATATGTGTCTCCGCCCACAAACTTGCGGGTAGTGATGAAGATAATCACTTAATCAGCCTCTAACTAGCTTCCTATTTTCAGGAATGAAGATCTGAATCACCCTCACCCCTCTAGAGAAATCAGTTTACTCATTCAGGTTCTGGAATTTCTTTATAGCTTTCTGAATTTACTTCGTTCTTGCATGTGTTAGCTTTCTGTCTGTGCCCCAATCTATGTCTACTTCCTTCTATTTCTTGTGTGCAAGTGCTCCATTGTGTGTGTGACTCTGTGCGTGTGATGTGCCCCTATCTATCTCTGTTTCTTGTGTGCAAGCGCTCCACTGTGTGTCTGACTCTGTGTGTGACTGTGTGTGTGTGTGACTGTGTGTGTGACTATGTGAATGTTGCATTTGCTTGTGTGTATGTGACTTTGCGTGTGACTGACTGTGTGTGTGACTATGTGAATGTTGCATTTGCTTGTGTGTATGTGACTTTGCGTGTTTGTGTGAATGTTGCATTTGCTTGTGTATGTGACTTTGCGTGTTTGTGTGAATGTTGCATTTGCTTGATGGTGTGGCCTGTATGCTTTGCTGAATGATTGGTGTTGGTGTGGTTTAACACTGCCTTTGCCGGTCCCAAGCCCGGATGTGAAAATGTGGAGGGAGCTGCATTTACCTCCTTCTGAATTTTGTGGCTGATGGAATTCTAGTTTACTTAGATGGTTAGCTTGTTAATTAGTTTTGTGCATGCAAGACTTGAAACCTAGCTGACGTAGTGTTTAGTTTCTGTACATGATAAATGGTTTTGTTGTGCACCCGTTTTCTACTCTTGGATGTTAACTTGCATTTCTTGTGTTTCTGAATTGATTATCTGTTGTAAGATATGGTTAGCATATATAGTTCATGGACAAATGCCTTTGTGTGCAGCAGTTGTCATACATTTTATTCATTCCAATGGTGATTTTACTACTGGTTTTTGTGTGTTAGAACTTTTGCGGAAGTTCTGTGTACCCCAGTACCAATGTATATGTATTTCTGTGTCATTTTGTACTCTCTCCGTCCGGAAATACTACATCCATTCCTCCGACAAGTATTTCCGGACGGAGGGAGTACTATAACATCACTGAAGCCAGTGGTTTATTTGAGATGAGTGACGTGATTACATTGTACCAGACATGCGACTGCAACAGCTCAGTGTATGAGTATGCGCCCCGCGACAGCAATTATCTAGTTACTTTTGAACAATTAGGTAGTTCACACTATGCAGTTTTACTTGTATTCAGGAATGGAGCTTGTTCACTTCCTAGATGCAGCAGGTTGTCCATGTTGTGTTCAATTTCTTTGATTCACCTTTATTTTCATTCAGCAGGTTGTCCATGTTGTGTGTTCCATATGGATTAGACGCGGTCGACTACTTTGTCTTCGATGCCGTGGCTCCTCATTGGGTCTTTTGTACTTCTTCTGTGTGTTCAATTTTTAATCCCCATTACGTGTGATGCTCTTTATTTCTGTGTAATTTGAACCTCTGGTTGCGCTCTTGTTAGCGGTGTCTCTGCTCGTGTGGACACACATGATTTGAACCATGACTTTTGAGCTGTGATTCTGCTAGTGAGGCAAGCATGATTTTAGCGGTGTTTCCATGCAATTTTGAACCATGCCTGTGTTATGATCTTGTGAAAACGTTGCGTGAATATTTATTGCCAATCGTGTGTCGTGCCAATGCTGCCTTTGGTTGATTGTTTGGCTTGTTGCTTAGCTGAATGATTGGTTTAGTAGTTTTGTAGTTTAGCACTGCCTTTGCCGGTCCCAAGCCCGGATGAGAAACTGTGGAGGTGTCTGCAGTTTGCTCCTCTATTTAGAACTTTCACGGTCTCCAAATATTTCTCAATAGTTTCAGAAACTGTCCTAGTCGAGTACGTTTTACTTGTAAGTGTATAGGAAGCCTTGCATGAAAGGCCTCCTGTACCACAATTCTCTAGAAAGATGCAGTTCAATTGTTGTGGCTTCCCTAGAAAATATTATGGTATTTCTGGACAAGAGATACGCAGTAGGGTAAAGTGTGCTCAACTTTTATCCTTATTTAATTTTCTACTAGTATAGAGTTAAGCCCATGATGATTACCTACATGTTGGAATTACCGGCAGTGACGACATTTTATGGGCCTATCTTGCTTGGAAACCCTTTTCTTGATTAGTTATTAATCTAACATGGGCCTAATGGGGAATTACACAGGAGCACCTAGGTGCTCTACCCACCCAAATCAGTACAGATGCAGCGCATATAGATTCGGTTTGTTCGTCTTGAATGTGTTGTATTAAGTTCTGTATGGCTAAAGTACTCCTTCAAAAACATCTCGTACTATATGCATGCTCTTTCGAATGGTCCCACACGCGGCTCCCACCTGTACGCATTTACTGCGACGCGGTGGGCGATGGCTGATATTTTCGTATTATTTTTTACTAAATGACTCCTCGGCGTCCTTATTTTGCTCACTGACCCCTCAAAAGCTTATTTCGTTGCCTGACCCCATTCGCGTCGGGCCGTAAGGCGCCGCACTTGCACGCCGCCGCGCAGCCCGCCAAGGCGCCATTGATCGACGATGACCGGCCGCCGGCGTCAGAGTGCCTGATATATCCGAGTACCGGTGGATGTGGTAGTTGCATCCGACTAACATATCAGATAGTCTTGATGTGCTCCGTCGACACACTCGACCATTCGGTGCGCTACATAAGGCAGATAATCCGGCATGTTAGGTTGGCGCGCTTGGGTCGATGTGGGCCATACCTGCACGCAGCCCTGCCTAGTAATGCCGAAACTAAAGAATACCTTGCTAGGCGCTTAAAAAGTCAGCCAGTCCGGCTATCTGTTAATGTGTGATTGCTGTGTGGGTCCACGATGGCATTGGAAGCGTCCTATTTAGCCACCGTACCCAGGTGAAACCATCTGCCGTTTCTCCCCGGCCGCCCCCTCGTCATCCTCTTTGCCGTCGCCTGTCCTCCTCTTCCTCGTTGTCGCTCGTCCTCATCTT